GGGGGGCTGCTTGGTTCCTGACCATGGGGAAGGACCAGGAACTGCTGGAAGCTGCTCGCACTGGGAATGTGGCTCTGGTGGAGAAACTCCTCTCTGGGAGGAAAGGAGGGATCCTGGGCAGTGGATCTGGAGCTATCCCCTTATCCAGCTTACTGAGGTAGGGACACCGTTCCCCGTCAGAGGCTGGGGATATTAACCTCTTCTTCCCTATCATCATCATCATCGCCCCTCTCATCTTCATTCCCATTCCTGCATCCTTCATAGTAACAATAAATGGCTCACTCTCGCCAAGTACAAGTGTGCCTGTGTTTAAAGTCACAGGCGGTCATTTTATTAACGTGGTGGTGCTGAACTGCCTGCCTTCAATGCGTCAGTAGGGTACTTGTTCATTCTGTTACTAGCTGTGGTGCAGAACTTACATTCCCATGGCTGGGCTAATACGCACAATATACTAATTATTCACCCTTTAATATTTCACCTTCAAATCGCTACTTTTTAATCACAGGTGGAAGTGTTAATCACAGGCAAGGCTTTGTATTGTGGTATCCTGTGTAAAAGCCATCGACTGACCCCATACCCTCACCCACGGTTGCTACCCTCACTTGCAGAAGAAACTGGGCATGCCATAGTAATGAGCCTACAAAACAAAGAAAGGGACTCTTTTTTTACGAGAGATCATCGAGGCAGAGGAAGTGCAAAACTTACAGAGCAGGTTAGGTAAGAGCAGCATTGCTTCCAAAGTACCTGGATTAAGTGGAGTGAAATTGGGTTACTGGCCGTGTTGGCTAAAAGGACTTAACTTTAGTCATTAGTCATATCTCGGGTGACCTACAGCATGGCTTTGATACTGTTTCCGTGTGCTCTTAAGGGCATTATGGGAAGCATTTGTGACATTTGACAGTGTTCAAACAAGAGAAGGTCTGCAGCACACAGTCCTGTGCTCAGTACTACACTAGGCAGAGCAAAAGGAGACAGAATGAATGGAAACAGTGTTGACCTAGAACTTGAATTCGTTGTTGTTTGGGTTGGTTGGTTGGTTTGTGTGGTGTTTGGTTTTTTGTTTTTGTTTTTGTTTTCCCTGTTTAGAAAGAAAAGGCCTAGAGAAATGGAAAATGCTTAAATGAAAATATATTTGTTAAGTCTTGTTATTTTAAAGCTGGGTTTGGGGCTTTTAACAGCAACAGTTCAAATATTCATAGTTTATCAAAGTTCTACGGTGCCCCCATTCAATTAGGTATTGCACTATTGTTTAATTACTAGCCCATTCACCAAAATCAAAACACACTGTGCTTGCTTTTTGTGCTGTATTGGAATAGGCTGCTTAGCAAGGAGTATGCCAGATTTTCAATGGATTTTAAAATAGGAGTCTTCCTAAAATGTGATACCCATTTTTTTGTAAGTACAGAAGTAAGTTCACTTCAGTACAATGACAGGCCATTTATAACCCAGTTCTACTGCATGATTTGTGTAGTGACTTTCTTCAGGGCTAGTGTCTGTGCTGTATTCTTGCAGTTTGTTTCACGTTGTACATCATAAGTTCTGTATATCCAGAGGGAGTGTATTTGCCTGTGTTTTTCTTTTCTGTTAAAACAGTAGTGTTTTGCTTTGTGTATCTGAATGCTGACCATGTGTTTTGTATATACAGAACGGTCGTGACAGTCATTGTTTGTTACTCAGAATTTAAATATTGTAGGTTTTAAACTCAACCATGGGTTTTGTTTGGTTGGTTGGTTTTGGTTTGTTTGTTTTTATTTCCTGGAAAGTACACTTTATCTTAAAGAGAAGTAAAGCAAGGTAAAACATGTACTGTTTTATTTATGATATTTCTCACTAATGTTATAAAGAATGTCTGTGGCTTCTGCAAACGTAATTTCAAAATATAAAAGTACAAATTTAGCATACAGCTGCTAACATATTTCTAATTTTAAGCAAGTTATTTGCATATATTTAAAAATAATTCAATAATAGATTGATGCATAAACATTCACAATCTAACACACTATTGAATATAAATCTTTTTAGAAGGAATCGTATTAGTTTCATTGACTTCACCAGGAATGCTCGAAGTAGTTGTCACTATGTGTTATAGAAAGTGTTTTCAAGAAAGAATTATATTTGCTGGGTATTTTAACATACCATTTTTAGGAACAGTTGCATGATCTAACTGATGCCAGGAAGTATAGGTTAAGTCTAGAATGGCTTGCAAGATTAAGGTTGGATCTATCTTGGTACAGATCACAAGGAAATAAAAGAAGGTACGGAAGGATGTCATACTAACATCTTGATCCTGTCTAGGACATCAGCACTTACTGAAAATGGCAAAGTTGTAGAAGAGGTGTAATTGTACGGTGTAAAAGTTTGAATTTGAGGTTGGCATTGTCCGAAGACATTTGCAATAGAAAACCAAGTGAAGTAGCTTACTAGTAGAGCTATGCTAGTACTTTTTTGCATACAGTTTAATAGACTAAAAACTGCTTTTGAAAGGTACAGTAAGAAGAAAGTAACAGAAAATAAAAGGAACTTTTTTTTTTCTGTTTATAGAATCTTTAGGATACATAACTCCTGGTGTTTCGTTCATCATAATTATTGCTCAATTCTTAAAATGGTGCCCCAGAACTGTACCTGTCCTATTCTGGTGAGAAAGGTCCATGTTGCTGTTTCTTTCTCCTTTTGGCAGTGCTCTTCCTAGCATTAGGTTGGAAAAGTCCAAGACTTCAGCATAAACTAATGCTGTGCCTGATATGTACGTCTAAGTAGCAGTACACTTTCCATTTGGATTTCTTCTAACTGATGGAGAAAACTCGGTTTATATGTGTGAACCTTCCATAGCTTGATGCCTTTTTTTGTGGATATTGGCTTTGCAGTAATTATGTACCTTCTAAATGAAGTTTAATATTCGTGAATTGACAAATGCACATCGATTGTTATCTGAAACAAGGAACAAACTATCTGAGCTCTGATGTCCCATTTACATTTTTATAACAATCTTTTTTCTGACTGTTAGTGTATTTTATGGCACTTGGGGGAAGAATAGGGCAAGCCTTTGTATGGTTGTTTTATAGTTGAAGCTATTAATTGATGCTGACTGCAGAGTAAATTATCTGATTTTTGAAGGGCTGACTTATAATTCATTGTATTAGATGATGACAACAGTTCAGGAAAACACTGTTCCGGAAGGCTATTTGTCACACATATAAATATATGAATGAATTCCTGTGGGGATCTAAACACATGCTTAAAGCAGAGTATGCGCAAAGTGCATAAAAATGATAATGCTTAATTAAGAGGTCATGTGCCCCCAGATATCTGTAATAGATGCTGTGTAAGATCGCATGCCCAAATGGATTCATCTAAAGCCATGACGACAAATCAGTGATGTTTGTGTGGACCGTATGACTTGTTTCAGTTCAGGAGAAGCTTTGAAAGGCTCTGACTCGGTTTGTTGCCCTCAGTCTCCGTACTTTGCTCTGGAATGTGAAGATGTTTGCGGGAATGTAAAGATGTTGGTGGATATACTGCGGGTGAAGTCCTCAGGTGCAAAAGTTAGCATTAGGCATTGCAACATACTAGAGCAAGAATAGTACTCAGTAAACACCTGGCATTGAGTAATGTAGTTGCTTAAACCTGGATATTTAGCGGCATTTCAGATGCCCCTGAGTTTCTGAGGCACCTGCAGGGGCTGATGGACTTTAATAAAGGACCGTGACCTGTGGAGATACATCTAAATTCCAGGTGGAATACACTAGGCCATCTAAAGCTGTGTTACACCTGTGTGTTGGCTACAGGCTCCAACCCAAAGCATTAGTGCAGGGCTGGGGTCTGCTCTTTTACACTGAAACAAGGATATTTTGAGACACTTCAGAAAACATTCAGTATTTAGAAGACCAAAGTGTACAGGAAGTTTCTTTTCTCTGTAAAGTGTTTCTAACAAAACCGGTGTTTTTCATTTACTGAAGCTGATTGGCTGTAGATACATAAGTTGTTATTGACCAACCAGTTTTTCATTATTGGATAGAGACAGGCTTTGTTTCTTTCAAAGTGTTTCAGGAAAAAGAACTTTGAAGGTTTTGATATATCCCAGAGACCTTATATCATTTTGCCATGTGCAGTCACGTGCATGCCTTTTTGCCCTACAAATACGTTACAACCTAAAGAAAAATGGATATTTCTTCATTAAATGCTATTTTTAAGTTTGTTTAAACTTTACATATTAAAAGAGCTTTTGATTTTTAACAGGACTGTGGGACAACCTATGAATTAATGTGAACTGGCACAGAGTAGCAGGGAAGAGTGAGCAGGCCCCTTCTTCCTCTTTGTTGGCTACTGCCATTACACAGCATGGGAAGGCGGAGCAGCCTGCACGGAGCTGGTTTTTTCCCCTTCTACACTTGGCAGACTGTGGCAGGGAATGGCTCCATTCTTTGCTTACCCTTACTTTGCACAGCTACGCCATGTATAGGCCTGGCTCAAGATATTTCTCCTCCAAAGTATAAGAAACCCAGCAAGCAGATTGTCAGTCTGCGAGTTGCAATCTGTTTCCTCATCTGTTTCTCAGAGCAGTGTCTTGCTTGCAGCACAGCCACAGTTTAGCCTGATGGCCTCAGTGCACGCTGAGAACCGCAGAAATCTACTTCTGTCCTTGTCAGAACCCTGTGATTCATTGAGCTTCCAGTGCAAAATCAGATCACACTCAGATATGGCTTGTAGAGCAGAAAGTATTTAAAATACACTTTATGAAGCTTTAATTAGAATTTTAACATAGTTATTTTCATGTTATAATTTAAATAACAAACGCATCACCTTATCAACAAAAATAAAGGCACTAGGTCTGTTTTTCATTACAAATAGCATTGTTTAAAGTAAAAGAAACCTTCTTAGGTTGATTTTGTAAAGAGATTGTATTTATACACGGCTTGCAGTAGCAGGGGTTTGGGCTCACCTACTTCTGAGGTCACTTGTTTTTACATTAGAAGGTATTTATTTCAGACAACCATCGTAGATAATAAAATGGCAACTATTTGTTATATAGAGGTCAGTGGGGCATCCAGTTAGCCTATGCTTATTTCTAATTTTAGTTACACTGCTTTTAATTAATACATGGAATTTTTTTGTACGGATGTCCCAAGCAGAGACCAGCATTCCCAGATTCCCTAATTA